TTTCAAAGAATCAGTTATTGGATTCATTGATTCTTTGTATTGTTTTCTTTGTTTCTGTTTTGTTAATTTCTGCTCTTGATTTTTGTGATTTCTTCTTGTCTGCTGGGTTTGGGTTTCATTTGCTGTTGCTTTTCAAGTGCCTTGAGCTGTAATGTTAAGTCATTTATTTGTGTTTTTTCTGATTTTTTAATGTTGGCACTTAGAGCTATAAACTTCCCTCTAAGGACTGCTTTCAACGTGTCCCAGAGGTTTTGTTGTGTTGTATTGCCCTTTTCATTTAGTTCCAGGAACACTTTTATTTCTTTGTTAATTTCTCCTTTTACCCATTCATCATTCAGGAGTGTGTTGTTTAATCTCCGTGTGCCTGTGGTTACTAGGATTTCTTCCAGTGTTGATTGTAAGATTTATTTCATTGTGGTCTGATAGAATGCGTGAAATTATTTCAATCTTTTTGTATTTGTTGAGGTTTGTTTTGTGCCCCGGTGTATGGTCAGTTTTGGAGAAGGTTCCATGGGGTGCTGAATAGTAAGTATATTCTTTGGTCTTATTTGGTAGATGTCTGTTAGGCCCATCTGATGTATGGCATTAATTCCAGTGTCTCTCTGTTAACTCTCTGTCCTGTTGACCTATCTAATGGAGACAATGGGATATTGAAGTCCCCCACTATTAATGAGTTGGGAATAATCTGGGTCTTAAAATCCTGTAGTACTGATTTTATGAATTTGGGTGCTCCAGAGTTTGATGAATATATGTTCATGATTGTAGTATCATCTTGGTCAGTTGTTCTTTTGATGAGAATCAAGTGGCCATCTTTATCTCTTTTGATTAGTTTTAGTTTAAAGTCTATTTTGTCAGATATTAGAATTGCAATGCCTGCTTTTTCTTAATACTATTTGCCTGGTATATTTTTTTCTCTCCTTTCACCTTAAGGTAGTACCTGTCCTTGAAAGTGAGATGATTTTCTTAGAGACAGCAAAAAGATGGGTTTTGTTTCTTAATTCATTCAACTAGTCTGTGTCTTTTGACTGGGGAGTTCAGTCCATTGATTTTAAAGTTATTAATGAAAGATGTATATCAATTCCTGTCATTTTTATTTCTGTTCACATTGTTGGTGTAGCTGTACATTTCCATAGTTATACCTTCATTAAGTTTCTGTTCGTAACCCCTTGGGTATAATCGTTCCTTTCTTCAGTTCTTTGTATTGCTTCAAGAACTCTCTGAAAGGCTGGTTTTGTAGACATGAATTCTTTCAGTCTGTTTATGTCATGGAAAATTTTTCTTTCCTCTTCGACTGTAATAGACATTTTGGCTGGGTAAAGTAATCTGGGTTGACATCTGTGGTCATTTAGAACTGGGAATACTTTGGCCCAGCCTCTTCTGGCTTTCATAATTTGGACTGAAAATTATCTGTAATTCTTATGGGTTTTCCTTTATATGTGACTTATTGTTTTTGTTTTGCAGTTTTCAGTATTCTCTCTTTGTTCTATACATTTAGTGTTTTTAGTATGATGTGCCATGGAGCGTTTCTTTTCTCGTCCTATTTGGTGTTCTATATGATTCTTGTATTTGTAAGGGCATGTCTTTCTTTAATTTTGGGAAATTTTCTTATATAGTCCTGTTGAAGATCTGGTCCATTCCATTATCCTGAGATTCTTCTCCTTCCTGTATGCCTATTATTTGTAAGTTTGGTCTTTTTATGGTGCCACAAAATTCTTGCATATTCTGTTCTTGTGTTTTCTCAAAGTTTTCATGCTCTTTGCTTGAGTGGTGTAATTCATCCACTTTATCTTCCAGTGTTGATATTCTGTTTTCCATTTCATTCATCCTTGGTGAGGCTTTCTCCTGTCATTTCTAATTGGTTTACTGAGTGTTTCACTTCTGTCTTCATTTCGGCCTGAGTATTCTTCAATATTTCTAGCTCTTTTGTTAATTCATTCAGAAGTTTATCCCTATCTTCCTTAAGTTCTTTGATTTCTTTTTGTGTTCCTTAAATTCTCTTTTATCATGTTTATAATTATTCTTTTGAATTCCATGTCCTGTGTTATCTCTAGGGGGTTCTCATTGCACTCCTCTATAGGACTGATGGTACCTAGTGGGGATATATTATTTTGATGTTTCATGTTATTATTTTTTCTCTGACTTTGACATTTGGAGTTCTTCTAGAGATTCTGGTTCTTGTATGAGACTCAAGTCTTCCTTTGTTGAGTTTAGATCTACTTCTCTTTGTAAACTTTATGTGCCTTTGTGGTTTACTTGTTGGGCATGAAAAGCCTGTAGGTCTAGGCTTCAGCTTCTCTCTTTTGATTTTTGTGTTGAAGTGGCCAAATTGCTTTTGTCTTGCTTCTCAGGAGTTCCCACAGAGGCCCAAGTTGGATGAGGATCAGATGCTCTCAGTCCTCTTCCCAAGGTCTGGATCCCTCCAAGAAAGATGCTGGTCTCAGGAATTCGAGGGTTAGGCTGGCCTAGGAGCAGAGCCCATTAAAGATGCTGGCCTCCAGAGATGTTAAGGAAGGGGTGGTGGCGAGGAGAGTCCCGAGGGCTCCTGGGGACTAGAGGGAAGAATTGGGTTGGTCTGGGCGCAAAGGATCAAGAAGCAATGGGGATTCTGGGCTAAGAGGTCAGTCCATGAGAAGTGACAGGCCAGTTCCCCTGCTAAGAGGAGAGATAGGGTGGGGGAGCTGGGAGGGTGAATGAGGCTGGGGGAGTCAAGGAGCAGTGGGCACAGCCAAACTTACCCAGGCAAGCTGTTGGTTCCAGGAAGCTGTGGGCAAGAAACTATTTTTCAAATGAAATATTCACTATAGCTTTTCCACTTAGTTGGAAAGTATAAGTATTCCTGTGTTAAATTCTTAATTTCTGGAACTTTGTCCAGGATTGTGTTTCACGGACACCTCTGAGTCTCTGTTTTTCTCCTCTCTTAAACAAGAGAATTGAGTCAGTTTTTGCTAACTTTCTGAAATGTTAGTGATGTATGAACTCAAATCAAGATAGTACCCTACCAAAAATCAGAGGTTACTAATTTAGTTAGGTGTGTATTTGTGACTGGTAAATGAAAATTAGATCTTAAAATTTTTAGTTGATTAAAAATTTTAATGTGCTGGATGTGGTGCATGCCTTCAGTCACAGCACTTGGGTTGTTAAGACAGGAAGATGAGGCTGTGCTGCATAGGGTGTTTGAGGACAGCCTGGGCTGCAGGAGATTGTGTCTGAAACAAAATTAAAAAAGGTAAAAAAGTTCTAAAGCTTTAACTATATTTGTCTTCATTGTTAAGCATTCTATCTGTTGTTTTATCTAAACTTCTGAATGTGGGTCTTGTTTAAACTTACTGAACAAATAAATACAGATGAAAACAGCTGACTTTCACACATAGGGAATTACTGGGACCTAGTTCCCTAGATTTAGTATGTTTTGATTTCTTCCTTAATACTGGATTATCGGTTTAGAATAGTAAATGAATTCCTCATATACTGATCCTTCAATGCTGTTTTTGTTGTTTGATGTTTGTTTTGTTTTGGTTTGAGACAGACTCTCACTATGTAGTCCTGGCTAGCCTGGAACTCACAGAGATCTACCTGTCTCTCTTCCTCTTGAGTGCTGGGATTAAAGGTCTGAACCACCACACCCAGTTTCAGTTTTTGAGACAGGATCTCAGTGTAGCCTACGCCAGCCTGGAACTTGCTAAGAAGTCCAAATTGGCCTCAAACTCAGGAAGCTCTCGTCAAGAAATTCCAGTGGACTCTCATATGAACATTTGAAATTTGTCCTGTTCTAACTTTTTTCTAGTTCCCATCTAGAACTTGTAATGCTAATTACTCTTACCTTTGCTTCTCCTTCACATCTCCTGTTCACCAGTCAAGGACTTTCTTTTCCCCCTACAGATGAGAGTTATGCATTTTGGGAGTCTTTTAGATAGACCCACTGAAAGGGTACCCCAGTTGCCTCACCCTGTGTCCCTGTCCAGCATGGAAGAAGCAAGAGCGGTCTGCATCCCAATTCCCTGTCCACAATTTGGGTAACCTCTTCAGAGGATGGTGTGATAAGAATAGGAAGTAGGAATTGGCTAGGCAGTTAGTATAAAAAGACCCCAAACATAGCCAGTTTCTTGGCTAAAAGTCAAAATGTCCTTGGGCCTCTTAGCAACGTACTCTATTCCAAAGGCCAAAAATGTTGAAAGTATTCGGGAGCTCTTATCTACTCCTTAAAAGATTTTAGGGTTACCTCTTTAGAAGGGGGAATGTTAGAGTAGCAAAAAGAAGAAAGAGAACATGAAGTTATCAGAAAAAAGTGATGGGGAGATATGGGAGGAGTTGGAGGGGAGGGAGTGGGCATGGATTTGATCAAAACACCTTATATGATTATATGCCTGTATGAAATTCTCAATAAATTATTAAATAATAAAGTTTAAAAAGGTTATAAATAAAAATAAAAATTGCCCTTTAAAAGCAAGGACTTTTTCCTTCATACATTATAAAATTCTTCCTTTCTTACCTGTGATGAATTGCTTTAGTATGTTCACAGAGTTGTCTAAACAATACCACTAACTCCAGAGTATTTCCATTACTCGAGAATAAACCCCATTCCAGCCAGGCGTGGTGGCACACCCCTTTAATCCCAGCAGTTGGGAGGCAGAGGCAGGCAGATCTGTGAGTTCCAGGCCAGCTTGGCCTATATAGCAAGTTCCATTCCAGCTGAGGCTATAGGGAGACACTGTCTCAGAAGAAAACCAGAATAAACCCTATTCCCATCCACAGTCATTCTGCTCCCTTCAGCTTCATTTCATGTCCATGAATCAGCCTGTTCAGAATCTGGGATTATAATTGGATCACAGATGGCCATTTGTGTCTGGCCCTTTAGCATAATCTGAGGTTCTTCATGTTGTCACATGTATTAGTTAAAAAATTACCCAAAACATTAGTAAAGTAATATTTTTGTATGTAAAAGAGCATTGTAGTTTGTTGCTTCAGGCTTTTAACCTATTGTGACTATCTTGTCTCCATAGTTTAGATTTTGAGGAATGTGCTCACAAGCTGCTGAAAATGGAATTTCCTGAGAGTCAAACAGTATGTCAATTCCTTTTTTTTTTTTTTCCTGTTAGAAAGTATATATTGATTAATGTTTAGGGAGTTTAATAGGTTTTGCAACTTAACTATAAAATGATCTTCGTTTTTAATGTAGGTTTTCTGTAATTTTATTAAACTCAAGGCTTAGGCCCCCGGAGGTCGTTCATATTTTCTCTAGTAAATTACATCTTCTTGAATGGTATACTAGAAGAATCGTCTCTGAAACACCATCTTTTGCATAGAATTTCTGAGTGATTACCTATGAAGCAAATTATGACATAGATACAGCAGGAAATTTGTTCAACATATATTTTTATCTCTTCCTTTGTCTTTATACACTAAAGATTCTTTTGGTAGGAGTTAATGAAGATCACAACACATATGGTTACATTGCTGTAGTTGTATAAAGAAAGATTGGTGTTATTGTTCCATTGGCTAATTCATGCATGAAAAAAGGAATTGAACATGTGCACAGCAAAATAGACAGGGATTTAGTAATCCACAAACCTAAGATCACTTAGTCTAGTGGGACCATTGTCTTATAATTAGTGTACCTCAAAGTCTCAGAATCCTAATGCTAAGGGTAATAAACACCAAAATGAATAAATAATCACTTTTTTTTTTTCCTAGTTGTCATGCATTCACTGCTTTCTGCCCATCTTGGATTTATGGACTCTGAGCCAAGGCTTTGGTGGATTTTTTTTTTTTTCTTTTCATATCTTGCTTTACGTATAACTGACCCTGCACAGATACAGGAATAAGTGCCTAGGTGCCAATGGATTGTTCAGTTTCTTTTTGTTGTTGTTTTGTTATTTATTTATTTTTATATCTTTTATTTATTACTTTTATGCGTGCTGTCTTCATGCTGTCACAGGAGCCTGCATGTAAGTGCTCCTGTGTTATGTAATGCCTGTGGAGGTCAGAAAAGGGCATCGGATCCCCTGGAACTTGAGTTACGGACAGTTGTTAGCTGCCATGTGGGTGCTGGGATTCGAACCTGGGTCTTCTGCAACAATAGCCAGTGTTCTTAACCACTGAGCCATCTCTCCAGCCCTGGGATTGTTCAATTTTTACCTTGTTTATCTCATGATATTCTAAGCTATATTACAATTAAATGTAAATTCTTTGTCCTAAGTCTTCAAACATGATCAGCTACAGGGACTGGTAAATTGTAACCCAGACCTACTTTCTGTGAGTAAAGCTTTATTGGAGTAAAACCATGCTCGTTTATTGATTTTTTTTTTTTTTCCTTCCTGATTGCTTGACACCACATTAGCAGAATAAATAGCTTTAGCAGATATTATATTGGCCCTAACCCATAAAATATTTACTGTTTGTCTTTAAAGAAAAAAATCGCCAGTCCTTGTTCTATCATATACATTCAGTATTGAAATGCCATCATAGGAAATTGTATAAAAAATAATAATAATGTTAGTTTGTTTAGTCCACATTCTATTGACTATTCCTGTTTGTATTCTGATAGAACTTGATGTGTCATCTGTAGAAGGAAATGAATTACTGTATGATCTTGTTGCATTTATGGAATATAATTAAATCATTGTAAATTTTACTAATACTAATCCAGAGGGTAGCTGTTCTAGAATTAACCTCAACATATTTTGATAATATTTGAAAGTATCTTAATTCATCTATTATTACATACTCAGCAGACTCCTAATGCTCTGCCATTAAATAGAAATTTTAAAATAATTATTATAAGCCATAGAGAATAACTTTTTAAAATATTTTATTTACACCCTGTTTTTTAATTTTATTTTATTATTTTTATTTTATGTATATGTGTATATTGCCTGCATGTAGGTAAGCGCACCTGTGTCGCGCAGTGCCCTCGGAAGTCAGAGAGGTTTGTCGGATTCCCTGGAACTGAAGTTACAGACAGTTGTTAGCAGCCATGTGGGTGCTGGGATTCGAACCCAAGTCTTCTGCAAGAACAGTCAGTGTTCTTAACTGCTGAGCCATTTCTCCAGCCTGAGGATAACTCTTAAAATTGCATTTAGTTTAGGGAAGAAAATAATTTATTCTCTAAGTAGTGCTGTCAATTAGCAATACCATTGGTGTTTTATTGTTTAGAATGATTACTATATTATAAAACATGATGCTGGCAGGAAAAATTGAAAGTGAATTTTAATATATCAGGTTGATATGACAGCATATTTAAGAAAACCTTATTATACATTTTCAGTATGTTGTGAAATTTTGACAACATATACTTTTCCAGAATTTAACACATTTATGAATATTTTACTTAATTGGGTTAACTTGTGAGAGCTTTTCTTTAAGCTAGGAATATGATAATGTCTGAAGGTATTCCAGTGTTTTAAAGTGAGGCCTCTGGACTGGATATATGACTCAGCAGTTAAGAACCCTGGCTGCTCTTATGGAGGACCTGGGTTCAAACTCCTGCACCCACATAGCAGCTAACAACTGTCCGTAACTCCAGTTCCAGGGGATCTGATGCTGTCTTCTGATCTCTGCGTGCATTGCATGACACAGGTGCACCTACCTATATGCAAGCAGTACACTCATACATAAAATAATAATAATGAAAATAAATTAAATATTTAAAGTGCGGCCTCTGAGTAGACCATCACTCTAGAGCAGCACTGTTCTCGATGGAACTGTTATATATTCTGCTCTATTCAGGGCAGCAGCCCTTGGACTTGTCTGACTTTTGAGTACACAAAACATGGCTATCATGACTAAGAAACCAAAATTACAACTTTTAAGTAATTTAGCCGCTTGTAGAAAGCTACTACGTTGGATGCACAATTCTGTGCTTTTCCAGGTTCCCTTCTAATCCTTGTCCTGAGCATCTCTGCTCTGTGTAAGTCATCTTGCTAACCTAGAGGTATGCAGTAAATTTAAATGCTCACAGTTTACTTAGATTACACCTCAGTAACTATGACAAAATTTCAAAATAGTTAATTGAAAATTTATAGCTAAAATTTAACTGAAGGAATATACATTTTATTTATTCATACTTTATGTGTATAAGTGTTTTGCCTGCATGTGTGTACATATACCCATGCACACATAACCCACAGAGTACAGAAGAGGGTGTTGGATCTTCTGGAACTGGAGTTATGGACAATTGTTAGCCACCATGTGGGTGACAGGAACTGAATGTGGGTCCTCTGCAAGAGCAGCCAGTGTTCTTAACCGCTAAGCCATCTCCAACCCCCACATTTAATTTTCATAAACCTGCTTTCTATTTAAAGAACCAAATATATTCTAGTTACTGCTTTAAAAAAAAAAAAAAGAAGAAGAAGAAAGGAAAAGAAATAATATATAGAAAAAGGTCTTTACATTTTGGTGGTCTAAAAATGAAATTTCTTCCTCTTTTCATTTCATTTTGTCTCTGTTCACAATGTTGGCTGAGTTACTCCTGTGTGAAATTGCTATAATCAGTGTATATTCCATTAGGATTAATTCAGGAATTACTAAATCATACTTGTTAATTAAAATCCCTAATTAATTAGATGTAAATCATTTGTGATAATGATATTTTCTGATCAGGGATTTATTCATTAGTTTTAAACAATTTCACAGAGAGGTTTTTCAAAGCAGCTGAATAGCTGATTGGACAGTGTACTCCAGCAACTCTGGGATTAGTTTATCTGTCTGTAGGTTCTGTAGGTAGGTCTGTATATATGACATTTCTTTTAAGACTAGAAAATTGAGCTACAGACCAATTTCTGTTCTTTATTACAGTTTTTTTCTTTGTCGACTGTAGGCCCATTTAAGTTGAAAATTGAAGTTGTACTCATTTATGCTTTTGTAAACATGTATGTTTTGTTTTCTCAATACTAGTTAAGTATATTCTTTAACAATTGAGTTTAAACCTAAATTTTTAGGTATTATGTTGATAAGTCTATACTTAAAAGATTTCTTTTAAGATAATATTTTCAGTGTCTCTGACGTTTTTCACATACTAGATTAAGAAATGATTTATATTTATTAATTTAGAATTTTATATTTAATCAAATTAGTATAAATAGCTATAGATTATATCATCGAGACTAAGGGCTTTTAAAATATGGTAAACTTGGCATTGATTATTTTAAAAAACATAATTTTACTAGGTTTTCAAGATTTTTAAGTCAGAGTTTGAAAATAGTTACTTTTGTTTTGGAAATTGTCATATAACATATAATATCCATTGTGTTCTGAGCCATTAATGCAATTTTTCTTTCCAAATAGAAAGAACTCTGCAATATGATACTTGATTGCTGTGCCCAACAAAGGACTTATGAGAAATTTTTTGGCTTGTTAGCTGGGGTGAGTTCCAGCCTTGTTTCTCATGTCAGGATTTAAAAAGTGAATTAATGATTCTGCTTTGTGTCCTGGTCTGCTCTGATGTAACACCATCTCTTTCTGAAGCAGAGTGTTTTCTCCTTCAGATTTCTTATGCCCTTCAGTTTTCTCCTTTGCCCCACAGTTTTGCAGTACTTTAACTTTGTATATCATTCTTCCACAACTCTCTGAAATTATACTTACTGTATAACAATTTCCCAATGCAAGACAACTAAATATTTTCTTCAGAACCTCAAAGCAATTACTAAAGTCAGGAATACATTTAGGCAACACGGGATAAGCATGGTCTAAAACATTTTTTTTACTCCAAACTATTCACAAAGCAGAAATACATCAAATGTGTATGTCTAGGATCAACTGAGACTGTATAGTTTTGTTTTAGCATATAAATCCAGATAGAAACAAATCTAACTTTTTTTTATAGCACAGAAAGATTTAGTGATTTTTTTTTTGAAGGTCCATAAAGTATTTTATTTAGTTTAGTAAGTTTAGAATTAGTAAGCTCAGTTGTATTGGCATTCAGTTTTTACTAGTATTAACTTTCAGTTTTTTATTTGCTAGCGATTTTGTATGCTGAAAAAAGAATACATGGAATCATTTGAAGGTATATTCAAAGAACAGTATGATACCATCCATCGCTTAGAAACAAACAAATTGAGGAATGTTGCTAAGATGTTCGCTCATCTTTTATACACTGATTCACTTCCCTGGAGTGTAAGTAATTGGATCAACATTTACTCTTCCTTCCTAATCTGTTATTTTCAAATACGTATTATCATGACTTGGCCATCTTATCCTATTAGGAAATATGAATTAAAATGAAATGTGTAGTACACTCTTACTGTAACTGCTGTCTTTGTCTCTGTTTTTATGTCTTTAAATAAAAGGCTAAGTTAAATAATATACAAGTCTTAGTACTCTCTTGGGTCATCAAACAGTTCAAGCCATAATGCTTTTCAGTAGTGATGACTAGGAGTATTTTCAGGGAAAATATGTATTTTCATGTTTGTGCTTATACACATTTGTCTATCCTCATATAACAAAGAGAGATATGTGTTCCCCTATTTTGGTGGCTCAGAATTTCCATATTTCTTTAAAGATTAACTTTTCATGGTTCCTCCTATTGGGACTCGAGGGACAGGATTATCCTAGGGGTTGTGTTAAGTAAACTTTATATCTCATTGGGTAAGCAATAGGAAGGGGATACTGTGCTCATATTTAGGATAAAGAAAGACATTCTTTTTTAAAAAAAAATTTTATTTATTTTTATTTTATGTGTATGTGTGTATTGCTTGCATGTAGGTATAAGTGCACCTGTGTCGTGCAATGCCCATAGAGGTCAGAAGGCGCTGTCAACTCCCTTGGGACTGGAGTTATGGACAGTTGCTAGCTGCCATGTGGGTTCTGGGATTCGAACCCAGGTCTTCTGCAAGAACAACCAGTGTTCTTAACCACTAAGCCATCTCTCCAGCCCCAAGAAGAAAGACATTCTTAATGGGGAAATGTACATTACATTGAACATTGAGCTTGTATCTTTTGTACAATTCATTCAAACACTCTTATTTAGCTACCACATGTGTGTCCAGACACAAGAAAGGTGGTGGGCAATAGAATGATTTGCATGGTCCTTGTTCTCTGGAAAGTTGATGTAAAAAAAAAAAAAATGTAAGCTATATCAATGGAGATAATATCACATAAAAAGTCATTGACTATAAGAAAAGCAAAGTTGCTAGAATTTTAATAAAGAAAAATCACATGCCAAAAGAAAGAGACTCATATTGTAAAACAGCATGAACTAATGGCAGAATGAGGCAACACCACTGGTCTTATGAACATGGGGTGATTTTTGTAGTACTTAAGTACTAAGTAAATCCAGCTATGTTAAAAGGGCATTTGTCAGCTAACCCAGCAACCTAATCATAGTAACCTTTCGCTTCTTCATTTCCTCTGTTTTAGAAAATGAAATCAAGGTTTAAACAATTGACTAACATAGGCTTCCAGAATACATAATGCATAACAGCTGGAGATTACTTTTCTAAACATTTTGCTCTAAAATCTATCTTCATGGGGCTAGAGAGATGGCTCATCAGTTAAGCGCACTGGACTGCTCTTGCAGAGGACCTGGGTTTGAGTCCCAGCACCCACATGGTGGCTATGAAGTGTCCTTAACTCCAGTTCCAGGGGAATCCGATGCCCTCTTCTGACCTCTGTAGCATTGCATGACACAGTTTACTCACATACATGCTGGCAATACATTTATACACATGAAATTAAAATGATAAAATATTTTTAGAAAAAACTATCTTCATGAGTCAGCTTCTAAGCCAGTCTTCATTTTCAGGAGATGTCATCATTTCTGTCAGTCTTTACTTTTTTCACGTGCATATGTGATAAAAAGAGGTGTAACCTGGTAATCTCAGTGGCATTGCCCACAGCCCTCATCCACTCCATGTTCTGATGAGCGATGTCTGGGAACAGTCTTTACTTTGTGTTACGTTCGCAAGACAGGATATCTTCTTTGCTATAAAAAGCACTTTCCGCAGAAGGAGAATGAAATCTATTTCTGTAACATCTTAACATTTGAAAATTAATATAGAGAAGCCAAGAAATAATACATGTCAGCGTAAAGGAAGAAGATACTTGGAGATTCTGCCTAAAGATGAAAGTGAATTGTAATTTTGAGAGGTAACATATTTATGGGTTACTTTGTCCTGTCTTTTAGAAACCAAAATGAAATTCGGGCTTTTTTTCCCCTTTAACTTTCAGGTTCTTGAATGTATAAAACTGAGTGAAGAAACTACTACATCGTCTAGTAGAATTTTTGTCAAAATATTTTTCCAGGAACTATGTGAATACATGGGTCTTCCTAAACTCAATGCAAGATTAAAGGATGAGTAAGTTAACTAACACATTTCAGTCTTACTGTCCTTAGGAGTTTCTCCCCACTTTAGCAGATACAAATATACTCCTCATTATGAAAACAAGTTAAGCACATAGGACTTTAGATAGTGTATTCTGAATGTCCTGCCACGAGGTTATTGGACAACATGCAGCTTTCAGAGCTTTATTCCATTACTGTTAAAGAATCCCCACCTCACCTGTCTTGTGAGCCTGTTGTGTGAATTGCTCGTTGTCACTTAGAGAGCTTCTTCGTTCTCCTAATGCTGTCCTCTAAGATTTCACAGTGACCACCTGTTTAATCCAGGGGTCTCTCAGTCCTCCCCCCTTCATGTCCCTGCCTCTTTTAAAACATGCTCATTGAGGCAGCTACTTCCTTCTTACTCTTCTTAGTCACCATCTCCCCTTCAGCCTTGTATCTGTGTTGTGAAGGTTCACCAGAGGCCTGCACTAGTGTCTTCAGGGTGCCTCTGGGTTCTCTCTATCCAGTTTGTCTACTTTTCTCATGATACTGTACTCTGGCCACCTCAGTAGCGCCAAGCTTGCGGCAGTGTCTGCCTTTTCATGCTTCCGTACCTCTGTCTCCCTGAGTAGCGCCCCACTTCCTGATCTTTCAAATGCTTACTTGGCCTTCCTGCATTTCACCCATCCCTGTGAAATGCTTGTTGCTTACTTCCTGGCCTTCCCAGTGCTTTGTACACAGCTAGGTATGTAGGCATATGCCTACGAACAGATTTTCTGCATACATACAGAATACATGTTTATGCATATATGCATGTGTATATGTGTCTACATGTATATACATATTTACATATTCTTAGTGTGCATATGAAAAGTTTTCTTAATCTGTATTGCATAACTATAGACATCAAGTGTAGAGGCTGGTGCGTTGGCTCAGAAGGTAAAGGTGCTTGTCACCAAGACTGATGACCTGGTTTGGATCTCTGAGACCACACAGTGGAAAGAAAAAACTAGCTCCCACAAGTTGTCCTCTTGACTCCATACCCAACCCTCCCCACTCAGATGTAATAAATAAATCTAGCCGTGTAGCCAGGCATGGTGGTGCACACCTTTAATCCCAGCACTTGGAAGGCAGAGGCAGGTGGATCTTTGTGAGTTTGAGGACAGCCTGGTCCACATAGTGAGTTCCAGGACAGCTGGGGCTATAGGGAGACCCTG